TTGTCAAATATTCTCTTATTTGATCCTCAAATAATCCTGGGGAGGTAGGTACTATAGTTATCCCCATTTTACAGATGAGGAAACTGAGGCAAGCAGAGGTTATTGTTGTCGTTCGTCCTTCATTTTCAAAGTGGAGTAGTGGAGATGTCTTGCCTCACGTGTGACTTGGCTTGAAGTGAGGCAAAGCCACACAAAGTCTTCAGCCTCACTCTGTCTTCCAGAGTCAGTGGAGTCTAGCGGCAGGACAAAACTCAAGACCATTGGGAATGGCCCAGAATAGAGCGGGTGACCTTTATGTCTTCACTGTCTGACCATGCTCTCAGCGCTCCACAACACCTGCTTCTGCCTCCTCGATGGCCTTTGGAAGGATTTCTTCCCATCCGTCCATTCCACCAGGGGAAGTCTTCACATGCTTAGGGAAGACACCCCCTACACCAACGGATTTGAGATGCGTCACTTACCTTCAACCTGGTTTAGTCCATCTCTGAGACAGTTTTACTGGGGAGTGACTACCGAGAAGCTGCAGCTTCTTGGAGCCCCAGGTGAGAGTTGGGTGAATCAGAAGGACACCAAGTGTGGGTGAGCAGCCCTCACACCAGAGGCACTGGGCCTCCCTGAACATTCCATACATCCCAGCAGGCAGAGGTTAAATGACTTGCCCAAGATCACAGCATCAACAATTAGGTAAATAAAGGAGAACTTTTTTTTTTATGGAAATATCAGGGATATACAGAAGCGAAAAACAACAAGAACAAAAAAAACCCCACGTAGCAAGTAGACCTTTGGCACCTACATCCCCCTCTTTTAGAAGGTTTAATGTACATAAAGAAATTTATAAAACTTAAAATGCTATATAAATGCTAGTATTATCATTATTATTATTACTATTATTACTTCATTATCATCATCAGCATCCACAGGAGAAGGGTGGATTAGACTGTTGGTGACCCAACCCTAAATGAGGCTACATCTGATAGTGACAGGAGGTAGGGAGTGAGATAAATTTCCAGCAGGTAAATTTTTAGTCTGAGAGATGTTTTTCTTCTACTCTCCAACAACCATTTAACATTTTTATTTCCTTTGCCTGCTTCTTAAATGAGCCTTTGCCTTAAGACTCACAGGCGTGCAGCTTAATGGATTCCCACCGTCTCTGAATAAATCAATGTGTGGCTTCCCCCAGGACACTGGAGAGATGAAAGCGGCCATCAGGGGCTGCAGCATTTGACTAACAGGGACTTGGAGGAAGAAGGAGCAGAGGTTACTTTTTAGTTTTTGTCCAGATCTGAGATTTTTCAGTTGGAAATTCCAATATAGAAAGTCTCTCCACTGATATGGATAAGCAATCTCTCTGCACTTTATAATCTTAGAGAAAGGCCTGAGACACTGAGTAGTTGAGTGACCTAGAGGGGTCACGTGATATGTATCGGAAATAGGACTAGAACCCAGGTTTCCTAGCTTCCAGACCAACCACTATGCCCTATTGCTTCTTGTGAAGGATAGCATCCCTGGAATGGCTGAAGGGCCAGTGAGATGGGCCATTCATTACGTGAGACCAGGGGGTGACTCGCATGCCAGATGGTTATCCAGATAGCTTTGTAAAGACCTGGTGCAGGGAATCTTAACCTCTTGTGTGTCCTGGACCCCTTGACCATCCTGTTGAAGCCCATGGACTCCTCAGAATTATGTTTTTAAATGCATAAAATAAAATTACAAAAGAAACCAATTATGCATATTGAAACAAAGATGCAGTTTTCCTTCCCACCCAAGTTCATGGACACCCTGAAATCCATCTATACACTATAGGTGTATAGATGACCTGGAGAAAGTCCCATGGAATAATGAGTGAATTCTCTAGTGGACACCATGAAGAGGACCTGGGCATGCGTTGTCCAGAATGAGAAGCTGAAGAAGGGCTGTGATCTGCACCCTTGGACAGAGGCCAAGGGACCAGCTCCTGGATGCACCAAGGAAGAAGTTTCTTTTCAGAATGAGCTGTCCAATCAAAGGCCGTGGATCCATGAAACCTAAGGAAGCATCTTGGGTGGGTCAGTCAAACAGTAGTAGGGGATCTCAGTGCCTTTGGTAAGGTAAGACTCCACCTCTGCCTCTTCCCTCCTAGGAAACCTAACAGGCCGTTAGTCCTTTTATTGCCAGAGGACGCGCTGTCCTTGGAGCTGATGCTGTTTGTCAGCTGAAATGAGTCACCAGGTTCTTCCGATGCGGCTGGGGTGAATGTTTATCTTTTCCTTTCAGTGGTTTTCTGAGTAAGTGACCAAATTTTTGATGAGTAAGAGAAACCAACATCCCAGAAACTGGCTATCGTACAGTTCAGGAAACCCCTGATGAGCTGGTGACCAAGGGATAAAGTTCTTACTTCCCAGCAGGATTTCTCAGAGTTGAGCTCAGGAACCTTTGTGGGCTTGGTCTAGACCCAGGAGAATTCCTGGTTTAGACCCTCCTTCCACCTATGAGGACTGGTGATTCCTCCTCTGCCCCTTCCAGACTCAGAAGGTTTGCTTGGCACAGGAGGGTGAATAACCTATCCAGTGTCACACAACTCTGTTGTTGTTATTATCCAGTGACACCCACCTCACACATAGCCAAGAAGTGAGCTACTGCACATGCTTCTATGACTCTAACTTTTGCATCATAAAGTAATCAATTTTAAAAAAATCAGTTTGTATTTCAGTGCTGTTGAATGGAAGCAAATCAAAAGCAGAGTTCTTTTTTGTATCTAGAAAATTTCCATTTCCATTTGAAAGATAAAAATCTAGAAGATTGTTAATGCTAAAAATTTCCTGAAGATGGCTTTACAGTGCACGGTGTCTGTGTAACCAGGTCACTCCCATTGGTTAAAAGCCTTCAGTAACTTCCTATTTTCTTTGGGATAAAATAAAAACTTACTGGTATGTCATTCAAGGCCTTCTACAAAGCTGACTCATTTCGCTTCCAGGGCTTACTTTATGTTAATCTCCTGCACAGACTCTATTTTCCATCCTAACTGGACTCCTGGGACTAAAGGTTCTGTCTCCCACTGCATGCATTTGCTTAAGCATCCCCCCAGGCCTGCCACACACACGCATTTTGTGAAACCTATCCTTGTCTCCTCCATGATTAACACTATTTTTCCTTAAATTGCTTTGCATTTATTTATCTGTGTATATGTTGTACCTTCTGGTCCCCTGGTAAACTGGATGCTTTATTGTTGTTCAGTCTTGTCTACCTCTGTGACCCTGTGGCCCATAACATACCAGTACTATCCATGGTGTTTTCTTAGCAAAGATACTAGGATTGGTTTACCATTTCCTTCTCCAGGGGCTTAAGGCAAACTTAAGTGATTTGCCCAAGGTCACACAGCTAGTAAATGTCTAAAGTCACATTTGAACTCAGGTCTTCTTGACTCCAGGCCCAGTGTGTTATCCACCGAACCTCTTAGTTATGTTTAGGGTAGAAGCTACTGTTTGAGCCTCATTGGCTGAGAGTGAATGTAAAATAGCAATTATATCTGCTTTGGCCAGAAATCCTGAGGGTCTTCCTCTCCCAGATGGATTTCTTTTCTTTTTTTGACTAGATAAAAGAGACCATTTTCTACCTTATTTCTTACCTAGCCTTAATCACTGGATGCACATTGCCTCAGTCAAACTGAACTCTGCTTAAAAAGGCCAAGGTCTCCTCCTGCAACTGAGGCCATCCCCAGTCGTCCTGATCTGCATCTGGCCACGGGGCCCCTTTGGCTCTGGAGGAGAGAGTGAGGCTGGTGACTTTGCACAGCCCTGCCTCACTTACATCCTGTTCACGTGCATGTCGTGACCTCACCTCCCTGAAGTTGTGGTCCTCCTTGAGAGCAAAGGACAAACAGCATCAGTCTGGCCTGGTGCAGTGGCTTACGTGGAGATCATTTACATCTCTCACATTTGTACCAGTTCTTACAGAGTTGGTACTTCAGAAATGTTTGAATTGAATTGGAATAATGTAAGATCATAGACTGAAACCTGGAAGAGAGCTGGGGCGTCTAGCCCAGAGGTATCAGGCACACAGTCCTCACTGTACACCACTTAAAGCAGATTAAAAATGTAGTTAGGAGAGATTTAACAAAGTAAAAATACAGTAAAAACATCACTCGTATTACATCTTCAGAGAGTCAGTGTGGGGCTGCCAGGCATCTTTATGCATGGACTAGTGGCCCCTTCTCTTAGAGTTGAAGACCAGCTGACCTAGCCCTAAGCTCTCCTTTTCATTAATGAGGAAACTGAGGAAGACATGTGACGTGAGTGACATACCAAAGGCATGCAGGTGGCAGGGGTGGGATTTCAGTATTGGTTCTTTCATTCCAATCTTCCTCTCTGTCTTCGGTTGTTACCTGTTATCTGATTTAACTTCTGGGTTTTCTCTCCAGTGAGTTGCGATCATTCAGTCCTCTCGTATTTATATCAGTTCTTGTTTTTAAATCTGTGCGACTATATTTTGCATGACTTCACAGGGATAATCAATGTCATGTGGCTCGCCTTCTCAGCCAATGGGGGAGGGGGAGAATTTGGAACTTAAAACTGAAAAAGAAAATAAAGTTCAAAATAAATTAATTGAAATGTTAAAATAATAAAGTTGTGACAATAATACAATCCCATAAGACCTTTATTTTCTCTCTTCTTGGTATCCTTTACATTTTACTCCATGTTAAAACCATTTAAAGAATGCTGAAATCGATTTGTGGGCCGCGTTTTGGGTACGTCTTTCTGTTGATGGGCAGGAGGGGGTGCCCAGTGTGTTCTGTGTCCTCAGGGTGGACATTAGCTCCTTGAGGGCAGAAATTGTTGGGTTTCTGTTTCAGTGTTCCCGGCGCAGTGTCTGGGACGTACACAGTAGGTGCTTCATAAATGTTCATTGATTTGAGGGGGGGAAAGGAAAGGTCACTACAAACAGGTCTTTGTATCCCTTGGTCTAATGTGCTGTAGCAATGATGAACTAAAGAATTACATTGCTGTATTTTTTTTTCTCTGCAGATTCTACAAAAAAAATCAAGGACGTCCTGGGAGAATTCCACGGCGACGGCGTGCTAGCAAAGTATAATCCTGAGGGGGTGAGGCCACTTTTGTCTTGTTTCATTCAGTGTGCTACAGTAACACTTGGGAAAGATGGGGCATTCCTTTTGTGTTCTAATTTCCGTGGACATTATGTCAATGTAATGTAAATGTATGTAAATTGAGCCATCAGGGTTGGGGCTCCTCTAAGGCCTTCTCAGACGACCAGTGCCTGGGAAGGAATCTGGAATAAGTAATTACTATATAAGCAACCAGGAGTAAGCACCCCACTCCAGCGCCCCCTCCCACAGGTGGTCCTTTCTTCTTGGGGACACCCACATCCCATCCCAGTCCGCTCTCCTCCAGACTCCATATCCCAGCTCCCTTCCCTGGATCCTTGTGTGCCATGGTCTCTGAACCCCTCCTCTTCCCATCACCTTGATTTAGGTCCCAGAATTCCAGGCCCAGAAGTGGGCCCTTGGATAGTACCGATCCACAGATTAATGCCCATTAAGGGACTGGCTAGTGAAAGAAGGATGTGTCTGGACCAGGCTGAGAGCTCAGGGAGAGGGAGGGTCATAGGGAGAAAGGGAGAAGACTGAGCTAGACACATCTTGCCCTGGCTTTCCTCAAGGCCCAATTACACGCCTTCTTCTGTGGGACCTTGTTTCAAACAACCTGCTCCCCCTTCCCTTCCTCTCTGAGGTTACCTTCCATATACTCTGTGTGTGTGTCCGTGTATGTGTGCTTAGGAGCAGGCAGTCTCCTCCATTAGAATGTAAACTCCTGGATGGCAGGCTCTGACCTGATATTTCTGATAGCACCATTCTTGGCACAGTCTTGATTGACTGACTCATTGATTTTTTTGGGAGCTATGCCTACATAGCATACTTTTTGAAGAATGGGGCTGCCCACTCCGTACGAGAGGCCTGCTGTAGCTTGGGAGAGTTCCATTTCATTAGAAAGTTATTCCTGTTATATACTGTTCTGCATCTGGCACCCGTTGATCCTGGGTCTGCCCTCCAGGGTTAAACAGAACCACTCGGTCCCTGATTTCCCAGGATGAGCCTTTGAGTGCTTGAAGATGACTCCGTGCCTTGCCATAGCCTTCTCTCTCCAGACGAGACATCGTCAGCCCCTTTAACTGAGGTTCCCATGGGATGGTTCCTGCTCATCCACCTTTGGTGTCCACCCATCACCCAACTCTCACGTGTGCCCCAAGAAGCTCATAATGCTCACTGGCAACACCCCCATAAAACCTTCTCAGCAGATGGGCTAAGCCAGGGTGAGGGTAACTCCGGGTCCCAGACCTTTCAGTGGGCTGGGGGGGGTGGTGTCTGCTCCACGTGTGAAGACTTCCTTTGGCAGAAGGGGTCAGTGAGAACAATTTGTTCCAGTGGCCACGAAGGCAAATGAAGCAAGGCCAGTGGAACGCATGGAGCTTGGTCAGACGTTGAAGATGCCAAGGTCATCCACTGAATCCTGGGCCGTTGCCCCTGGGCCTGACTTTTCTCTTACTGCTGGACTTAGTGACTTTGGGAGAGGGAGTGAGGCTGAAGACTTTGCACGATTCTCATCATTTAAATCCAATTCGTGTACAAGTCAACCTATCACATTGTGATGTCATTGGTCCTCTTTGCAAATGAAGCATAAACAACAGGTTGTGGGAAGGAAGGGAAGAGTTACAGGGTCACAGATTTAGAACTGGAAAGGACCCCAGAGGCCCAATGCCCTCATTCTGCAGATGAGGAAACTGAGGCCAAGAAAAGTCGTGAGGTCCCACAGGTGAGAAAGTGACAAACAGGACTTGACCCAAGGCCCTCTGGCTATAGTCCAGAGCTCTTTCCACTGACCCACACCACCTGTCCTCTGGACAGAAAAGTCAAACAGCAATAATGATAATAGCTCACATTCCCTGAGCTTTTTAAGGTGTGTAAAGCGCTGGACATGGCTTATCTCATGTGAGCCTCCCCAGTAGTCCTGTGAGGGAGATTCTATTATTATCCTCATCACACAGTTGTAGAAACTGAGACTCAGAGAGCTCAAATGAATTGCTTCAGATCACAGAACTTTACAGAGGAAGCTTCAAACCCAAGACTTCCTGAGTCCAGTCTCAGAATGCCAGCCACAGCATCCTCACTGTATGGCCTCTTTGTCTGTCTTAATTAATGTTTTATGGTCAAAATTTCTAAAACTAAATATAGATTTTTAGAGCATCTCTTGATTTTATATAATCCACATCTTTATTGGTCTTTAATTATATGAATAATTTGACCCTCTGGGTCAAAAAAAAAAGGAGCATCGATTTTCATTTCACAAAGATATTGATTCCAACATGTTACAGACCCTTTGCCTGAGGGTTCTGGAGCAATGTGGAGCTGAGGGAATCCAAGGCATTTTCTCTCCTCCTTCCCTCCCTTCTGCCTCCCCCCACCCCCACCATCACCCCCAAACACTGTCAGACCAAAGTCAGGTGTTAGTTACCAGGCAGCTGGCTCAAAGCCTTCATCTTCCCCTCCAGATTTCTGATCTAAAAGAAATCTTTTGAAATGTAAGATAAACAATGTGTTGGTCAACAAGCATTAAGTGCCTGCTGCTGTGTCAGGCTGGTAGAAGTCTCCTGCTAGAGAGAGGCAAACAGAAAGAACTCCTCAAGGAAGGAGGAGACAGACAGGAGTGGAGTGAGCCCCTAGCCAAGTATGAAAATTAGGACAAGTTAATGGGTTTGTTCTGGGTGGGGGTGGGGCAGGAGGAACCAGCCATCCTCACTACTCAGTCCCTATGGGATGCAGCTCCCATGGCTGTGCTGGATAAGGTACCACCAATTTAACATAACCCTAAGCATCTAGGGGGCACATTACCGGTTCTGGAGTCAGGAAGACCTGTATTCTAATCTGTCCTGAGACACTTACTTGCTGTATAACCCTAGACAAGTCACTTAACCTCTTTCTGCCTCAGTTTTCTCATCTGTACAATGGGGTTCATAGTAGTCTCTATCCACCTAGGTTGTGAGGATCAAATGAGTTACCATTTGTAAAGTGCTTTGCAAACCTTAAAAGTGCTATGTAAATATTAGGCATTATTATGGTAATTTTTAAAAATTAAATTATCTTGTCTTCTCAGCACTGAATTCTCTCCCTCCCTCCTCCCCCTACAAGTTCTTCTTCAGTACTAGGAATGATGGCGATGATTGTTTACTTGGAGTCCTAGGAAAGAAGGATAGAATGGGGAAGGAAGGATGTGCCCCACCCTGGCCATGTTACTACTTAAAACTCTGAATAAAGTCTCAACACCTTCCTTTATGTCCAGCCATTGGTTTTTCTGCCACCAGTAATAATGGGATTCACAGATGGAGCAGCCAGGCTAGTCTGGAGAGACTCATCATCTGGTTAATCTCAGAGTGACCAGCTGCAGCCAATGTATGGAGGGGTCGCTATCAGCATCAGTGCAGGGAGCACACCCAGAGACAAAATCGTGATGTTGTGACTTATTGGAGCACAGCAATGTGAGAGGTCACACTCGCTCAAAGTGATGGGGGGGAGGGGGGGAGAAGGGTCCATGCCCTTTCCACCTGCTATTCACCTCTATAACACCCTGTGCTCTCTTGGCTTCTGGGAATTCTTGCTTAAACACTCCAATACCTTATGTACAATGGTTTTCAGAATTCTCTCCATCGACTTTATCTCTCCCCACCCCCACCTCCCATTTCTGGGTGAGGACTTAGATTTATTGTTCCTGTTTACAGGAGACTGAGACTGAGTGAGTCCTGCTGAGTTGGTACCTGGTACCTCAGTCAGTAGTGCTCAGTTGAGAGAGCAGTCCTTGGCAAACAGACTTCAACTACCCCCTGGGAAACTTCTGATTTCATTCTTGCATGTAGCTTTTGTTGGCTAAAACTCCCTTTCTACCTCTCTCCCTCTCTCCTTCTCTCCCTGACAGGACACCTTTTAGACCTGAGCATCCTTGGAAGTGACAACATTTACATTTAGTTCCTACATCCAACCCTCCGAGCTGTCTGTTGTTGTTCTGTCGAAAGTTGTGGAAGCCACGGTCATTCTGCTGGCCTCCTCTTCCCTCTATTCATTCATGCTACCACAATGCTTTCTCTCTGATTCCTTCTTCTCTTTGCTCCATTCTAATCTGCCAGAGCCATTGCTGTTATCTTCCATATTGGACATGTTTCATTTGGAAAAGAGGAAAAAAAAAGAAGTAAAGCATTTAGCCCCAGTACTTCCAGTGACAAGATGAACCTCAGGAAGCCATTAAAAGTCAATCTTTTGTCCTATAGCTACCCAGAGAAGATTCTTGTCTCTCATAACAACCCACCCAATTCCATCTCCTTTTTGGGTTCGTACAGCTGAAGCAACTGTTGATTTATGAGAAATGTGAAGGCCAAGAAAGCAGCTTTACCTTCAGGGACTAATGGCAGTGCCCTAGAAATGCTATTAATGTGAGATTCCTGGTGTCTCAGGAGCTGAAGGCCCTTGAGGAATGGGGCATGTTTGGAAACCATCGCATTGTTTCAGATCTGCTTTGAGTCAGGCTGAACATTCAACTGGAATGTGTTATTTACAAAGTGACCTCAGCACTGCTGCTGATCACTTGTTAACAGGTCCTTTGGGACTCATTACCAATGAAATGATTTATTATACCAGGAGGCTTTTCAGTTAGAGGGGAGCAGTTTACAGGCTAATTACCTGATTTGTTGTTTGAGACAAATGTGATGTTAGGCTTTTTAATAATTCAGGAACTCTTCATAAATCTGGCAATCGATGGGTGAAATCCATTATAAAAATATGAAGCAGCTGGAAAATAACAAGTGAGTTGAACTGGGGAAAGATGGCGGCTTTCTAGTCTGAATGTCTGTGCTCAACCTCCTTTTGGAGGAGCTGAATGATGTTTAATGTTGAGTTTTCAGATCAATATATATCTTGGTAAAAGCCAGTGAGAGGTAACTAAGAAATGGTTGGCCCAGTTGGACAGTGGACAAGACCATGTTTCAGGCCACACAAGGCTCTAGACTCCGTTACCTCATCTAGTGCACCCCACATGACCACAATGACTAGAAAGGTCTAGTATGCCTGGGGAGGGAGAAGTTTCTTTTCTGGATTCGCCAATCTAGTTCAAACCAGAGTTGGTTGGTAAGGATAGCTGTTTATTGATCAGAGATTCAAGACAAATGAAGACTATGATGGATTCTCCTTCCCTTTGGCATGAATAATTTATCCCTTTTCTTCTGAGAAACCTGTGTCTCTGGGAGGAGAGATTTAGGCCCACATCTGTACGGATGCCAATCCACTCAAATCCCTCCCAAGTGTTTTGAAACTCTGCGAGGGACAGCTGCTTCTCTAAGATGCTTGTTAATCAGTCTTATTTTATATTTTAAAATTCTTTAAGTGCCTACAGAATATTAAAGCATATTATTGTTGTTCAGAGGAAGCTTTGGCCTGCCAGAGACCAGGAAAATAATTTTTAGTTATTTTGAAAGAGTATACATCTGTACAAAAAACACAAATGTATGATATGTTGGTATGTATATGGGATGGATGTACATGTGTCTTTTGCAGAGATGAATATAATTACTTAATTTTGTTTCCTGCATAAATGATTTCTTCCTTAGCTCATGCAATTTAGAAACTGTTTGAAGATGAATTGCAGCCCATTTTAAAATGTCCGTCTTAGAATGTTAGGAGGAAGGGAAGGGAACAAGCATGTATCTAGCACCTACTGTGGGCTATGCACTGTGCTAAGTGCTTTACAAATATTTTCTCATTTGATCCTCACAACAACCCTGTGGGAAAGGCGCTGTCATGTTCCTGATTTTACACTTGAGGACACTGAGGCAAACTGAGATTAAGTGACATGTCCTGTGTCATACAAGTAGTAAGAAGTGTCAGATTTGAACTCAGATCTTCTTGACTCCAGACCCAATGTTTTATCTACTGTAGCACCAGCTGACTTTGTCTGAAGTCTAGATAGACACAGTCATCAAATTACTCATCCACAGTCAGGCAGTTACTGGGCATCTAGCAGAATTATCATAGGAATTCTGAAAGTGCTTTCTGCTTTATTGTGCTCTTTAATTAGAGGGAAAATGCTTGGGGGCAGGTGAAGATGGAAGAGAAAAAATGCCTATGGCCATTGGTGTCTGTCCTGAATTCTCTTCATCTACCCTCATAGACAGAAGACTTACAGTCTCACCAGATGCTACTAAGTGTCTAACTCACAAGGGGGATGAAATGATTCAGTGTCTGGGGCATGGCCTCATCCACAGTAACTGAAAAACAGTGATTTCCTTTTGGGGACTTAGAACCATGAAGGAGGTCACCAGCATGAAGTTTGCCTTTGGATACTCCTGTGGGCACCAGACTTCATCCCCCTGGAACATTTCCTTAGGTGAATTCCCTTCTTGGGAAGCATCTCAGGCTCCTCCAGGTTTCAGTTAAGTCTCATGTTGGTAGACAGCATCTCCTGTTTCCTGGACCTGTGATTTTATCCATATAGGGAGGAGCCCATGAGGAATTTCTTTTGTTGAGACAGAGCAGCATCTTCTTGGTTATTTGTGTTCATAAAGAGTTGTTTAGGCTCTATCCAAAGTCACATGACCAGGAAGGGTCAGAGGCCTGACTGGAACCCACATCCTCTCCAAAGGAGAGCTTAGCACAATGTCTTGCTGTGTGCATTAAATATTGTAATTAAAGAAAGTTAATGATTCAAAGATGTTTTGACAAAGAAGCAATTGACCATATTTCCAGCCAGTTTTGTCATGATATATACAATATTCCATTGCTGTAACCAATTTTATGATGGTATATCCAGAGATTAAGGCCAGGGAGGACTGAAAAAAGGAGAGAGAAATAAGGGAAGATAAAACTAGAGAGAAACCAAGAAAAAGGAAGAGGAGGAAGAAAGACAGAGACACACTGAAGGTTGAAGGATAGGAGAGGGAAAGGGGGTTATGCTTGAAGGATTGGGAGGGAGGGAGAGAGATGGAGAGTGGGTGGGGGAGGGAGAGGAGAGGGAGAAGTAGGGAGGGGAGAAAAATCAAGAGAGGTTGAAAGCACTATGGCAAGCACTGAAATCAGTTCTCCCCCAAATAGAAATCTGACAGAATCGGAGAGGGAAGGCTCTTCACTATCATTTCTGTTTCTGTGCTCTAAGATCCTCTTGTAACATCACCGTAAAGACTTGCTTTAAAGATATTCACAATGTTTCTTTAAGTCTATAGAGTGTGTGAGGGGGAGACATTTCTCATCCCTGATTCGTACTTTCTTTTTGATGAATAAGGACTACAGTTTATTGCTTTGAAATTCTAGCTATTTTAGAGTAAATCACATTTGAGAAATATTTATCGTTCATTCTTCCTAACCATGACGCTCCCTGCCACCTAGTGAGTTTGCCTGGCCTTCCAAGTTCTCCTGTACTTCCACCCTGGGTTTCTGGCTACATTCCCATTGCTCCATTCACATATGGTAACTCCTACCAAAGTAAGTGATTCACGGTTCCATGGGTGCCTTTGACCACTACTGTCCTTTTACTCACCTCATCCCTAGAATACCCTTCTGGTCCAATTCACTCAATTCAAATTGATTTCTCCTTCAGGATGCCTCTTAAAAGTCTTTTACTCAATGTAACCTAGAATTTCCCAGGTCATCAGTGTTCTCTCCCTCTTGGAGATTCTCATGTTACTTTGTGCTAATTGGGGTCATATTTTATTCAGGTTTTTCATTGATGTGTTCATGTACATACATGTATGTGCATGTGTGCATGTATACACGTATAACTGGTCTCTCTTACTGGACTGAAAGCTCTCAAGCATAGGTTTTACATCTCATTTGTCTTTGTTTCTCCCTAAGTAAGAAGTAGTAGATGCCTAGTAAATGTCTGTGGAATTGAATTAAAGTTAAGTCCATGGATCGTAACTTAATTTTAGAGTTAATTCTTTTAAAAATGGATTATTGAAGCTATTCATAGTTTATCTTTAAAACCTATCTTTAAAGTAAACCTTCAATGAAACAATTCTAGTCACAAAACAGTATAAAATGCATGAAATTAACATGTATGTTTTCTCTTTTCTTCCATGCACCACAGAAACAAGACATTCTTAACCAAGTAAGACATTTTCCTCTTTTTTTGGCAGTCATGTCTGTTTTGCCCCTGATTGATGTGAACAGTGATTTTCTCGTGTGCATCATTGAGTTCATCCATCCATATCACCATAAACTTACTGTAGCACAGCAAGGTGCCCGCCGTCTTGGGTATCTGGTATTGGAGAGGCTATGCAGCCACAGTAAGAGGGTGTTTTAATGGGACCTGCATGTTGGACGGTCATTGAACCATGCTCTCCCCTATCTGAACGTCTGTCTTCCAGGAGAATAGAATTTTAGGGCGACTGCAGAAACTCCGCCCTACACCCAGAGGCGGGGCTTTAGTCTTTGCTTCAATTAGACTGTTAGAGGAGAGTTGGGCTGTCCATATCCTTTCACTTTCCTCTGTTCCAGGCCATAAGAAAGTTAAGGAGAGAGGGATTATCTGAGTGATAAGAATCTATTTGGCCCTTCTCACTCACTAAGTCGGGGCCAGTGAGGCCAGGGAAGCATGAGTTTGGGGGCACTCAAGGAGGTTTGATGCGGGGTGGGGAGCGAACCACAGAATGTACTTACTAGTGGTTCCATGGATTCCATGGATTTGTCTCTGTGTCAACCAGAAAGATTTTCTACAAATTCATGTGGAACCTGGAGAACGTAGCAGAACATGGGGCATCCAGCATCCTCAGTAAGCAATCTTGATAACCTCTACAATGGATGACCAGGTCCCAGACAATCCAAAGTTGAATGGAGTAATTTGAGGGGAAAAAATCATTCATGAAGATATGACTCAAACTTGCTTGCTTGATTGATTAGAATTAATTTAAAGAAGAGTATTAAGAAGGCTCCTTCTGGACATTTTGCTATTCATAGGACAGGAATACCAACTGCATCTATGATTTCACTGGTATAGCAAATTCCTAAAAGAGGAATTTCCCTCTACCAAGGAAAGTTGGCCCTTTCTCTGCAACTAAAAGACTTAGGGAGTTGTCTAGACAACCACTGGAAGATTGACTTGCCCAAGGGCAAATAGCCAGCATGTGCCAGCAGCTGGACTGGAACCCAGGTCTTGCTGTCCCCAAGGTCATTGAGAATGGAAATAAGATGGTAGCTTGAGAGGGTGGTAGATTCTTAAGCTTTCAAGAATGGCTGAGACTGATCAACCTATGAAAACCCAGAAAATATCACCCCATAAAAAAAAAAAACCTGGAAGAGCTGAACTAGAAGAAAGATGGGGAATAGCAGTGCACCAGCCCAGCAAACGTGTCTCCCAGTGCCTCAGCAAAAATAAGAGAAGGAGCACTACAAAGGACCCCAGGCAGATAAGCACCCTGCAGCATTCATCTGAAAGGGGCTGAAGAAAGCAACCTAGAGTCTTCCTAAAGTCCCAGCCTTGCTGATTCCAACCCAACACCACGTAAGCTGTCAGAATCCTAGAGCCTCCAATTGTCAACCAGGAGGAGATCCTGAAGCCCAGGTGGTACAGCAGGCAAACACCAACACGTGGACCTCCAAGTGCCTCAGTGTGGGCAAGGGAACCAGTGAAAACCATTTCAGAAAACCACCAGGTGCCTTGGCACTCTACCGCAAAGGAATCTCCCAGTGCATTAGCAGAAATGAGGGAGGCAATATTGCAAGGGGCCCCAGGCAGATAAACACCCTGCAGCACCCATCTAAAAGGAGCTGAAGAAAGCTAAAGGAAAGGAAAAGCAGGCAACTTAGAATTGACTGAAAGTTGCAGCTTTGTTGATTCCAGCCCAACACCAGGTAAGCTGCCAAAACGCTACAGCCTCCAATTGCCAACATAAGAGGCCCCAGCACACAAAGCCAGTGACCAAGACCTAGGCTCCCAACACAAGAAGCTTGGGTCAGTGCCCTCTGTTCCCCAGCAGGAGAGCTCAATCTCTTTAAAGGCCAGGGAATAAAAAAATCACTAGTAAAAAGAAATGTACCATAGATTCATATTATGAGAAGAGTGAAGATCAAGACAGAAATTCTGAAGAGGACAACATTGTCAACAAACCCACATCTGCAACAACAAAAGGGAATATGAACTGGTCTGAAGCCCAAAAAGCCTTCTTAGAAGAGCTCAAGAAGGATTTTAAAAGTCTAATGAGAGAGGTAGGAGAGTCCTTAAAAAATGTAATTGGCCAATTGGAAAAAAAAGTACACTGAAGAAAACAAGTCCCTAAAAACACAATTGGCAAACTGGAAAAAAGTACACTGAAGAAAACAAATCCCTTAAAAATACAATTGGCCAATTGAAGAAGGAAGTACAAAAACTAACAGAAGAAAACAATCTGTTAAAAACTAGAATTGGACAAATGGAAACTGATGACTCTATGAGAGAGCAAGAATCAGTCAAACAGAAACAAAAAAATGAAAAATAGATGAAAACAAAATACCTCATCGGTAAAACAACTGACCTGGAAAATCATCCAGGAGAGACAATTTAAAAATCATGGACTACCTGAAAATCATGATGAAAAAAAGAGCCTGGACAGTATCTTTCAGGAAATCATAAAGGAAAACTGCCTGGAAGTCCTAGAACCAGAAGGTAAAATACACATAGAAAGAATACACCACTCACCACCTGAAAGAGATCCCAAATTGACAACACCAAGGAATATGATAGCAAAATTCCAAAATTACCAGATGAAAGAGAAGGTGCTGCAAGCAGCCAGAAGGAAACAATTTAAATATCATGGAACCACAGTCAGGATTACGCAGAACTTTGCAGTTTCTCCATTGAAAGACCGCAGGGCATGGAACATGATATTCTGTAAGGCAAAGGAGGTTGGATTGCAGCCAAGGATCAACTACCCAGCAAAAATGAGCGTGATTTTTCAAGGGAGGAGATGGATATTCAACAAAATAGGGATTTCCAAACCTTCCTGATAAAAAGACCAGAGCTCAACAAAAAATTTGATCTTCAAGTACAAGATTCAAGAAAGACATAAACAGATTAAATTCTGCTAGGTTGATAATTGGTGCCCTGACTTGGATATGAGACTGGGCCTTGGAGACTGGACTCTTCTTCTGGACAGCACTAGGAATGGGCCCCACAGTACTCTTTTCTCCTGAAGTCTCAGCCGAAAGATGGGTGAGTCTTATCCCCCAAAATTCCTGCTTCTGTCTCTTGGACTCCCTGTATTCCCAGTTGCAGCCTGCTTCTCTTTCCAAGTGGCTCTGGGGGGAGAGACCTCTAGAAGATCTCCTCTGAAACAATATCCTATATAATTTGGCTACGGTTAAGCCAGATGGCGTGTGATAAATTGTATTGTAATCTAAATTGATTGCTTTTAGAAGGACGTGGGGGAAAATAAGAGTAACTAAAAGATAGCTCTGAATTTTGACCAGTCTAATTCTAATTCTTAAAAAATAAATAAATAAATAAATGACTATGCAATGGTAAGTCCTAAGGAAGCAAGAAGAAAAGGGGGCAGGGTGACAATATTGCAATAAAGTGGTTTTGTGTAACAAAACCTGGTGCTGAAGTGTAAAGTGAAATTCAGTGGAGTAAAGATTAAGTCTGGATAACTGAGAAGTGAAGGCAAGAGGTTTTAAACAAGTAGGACAAAGTAAGAGAAGTGTTGGAGAAGGAAATAAGAATAATCCAATTTGAGAGTCCCTTAATCAAAGTCCACTGGAGGAATATAAAAAAAAAAAAGAATGAAGAGAGTGTAAAAATGTAGAGATGAGAGAAGAATGGTGAGAGTATTTATGGAAAGCCAAAATCTTCATTGACACTGTGAATGCAGAGTTTTAAAGACAAGCATTGGAATTTGGAAAAGGAAATTTAAAGACCAATTTTGATCCAGCTTAATAAAAATAAAGAGAGAGAGAGATTTGGAGAATTTTTTGAGAAATGCCTGAAGATAAATTGGTAAAGTTAAGTATGAAAAATAAAAGGATCTGATTTGCTCTTTGGGCGATTCAAAGAAATAAAGACATAGTTATTGGTTCTAGCTGCATTTCCAAGATTGTTTTTTTTTAATTAGCCATCTAAAAACAGTGGACTCTTGTGAAAAATGAAGTTAATTATTGACACTTGTTATTATAAATCTGACATTGTTTCTAGGGGAAATTTTGTTTAGAAGCTACATTGTAATTATAAAATATTAAGCAATTTGACCAATCTTAGAATGTACAAGCGGGATAGCAATAATAATAGCACCTACATCCCAGGATTGTTGAAGGAATTACATAATTCTAAATCACCTAAAACAGAGAGCACAGTACAAATACTGACTACTGTTATTGGATTTTGGAATAAATCCAAATTTGGAATAAATAACATCTGAGATAATAATGTAATATCCTTCTATTTTATCTAATTCAGACTTGACAGTCTGGCATTGTAACTAAAAACAAAAAAACATGATATTCTTTAAACTAATAGTTTTCTTGTGGAATTTGGAAAGAATATCAGACATGTGCCTAGAACTGTAAAGCGTTTTCATTGGAAGAAGATGCTTTTAAAACCATACTGTTACATGAAATTTTTCTAAAATATTGCAAAATGTTGTTATAAAAGCCAATTCCCTATTGAGTTATTTAACTGAATGTGATAAGTCTTTAAGTATAGTACTAATAAAGTGCCGTTTGCCTTGAAAAAAAAGAAAGTGCCTGAGACTTTGACATCTGTGAAGGTGGTGACAAAGAACAAGTAGATAGGGAGAACCTAAAGAGTGGTGAAAGTGCGCCAAGATGAGAAGTGCATGATCAGGGACACATCTGGAGGGATCAGCCTTGGAAGAGAAGACAACCTCTTTGCCAAAGGTTAGGGGAGAGGGAGAAGAGGGGGAGATGATGTCAAAGTGTCTTGAGATCAAAACACCTCAGCTGAGTGAATAGGAGGAAGGAGAGTGTGGGAGGCATGAAGAAAGAAGAGAAGGTCTCTGTGGGCAGTGGGCTAGGGAGTCAGGGCTGGTTGTTGTCCTTTGTTTTGGACATAAAAGCTGTTTGTCTTTCAGGTCTACTGAATTTTGTGTTGCCTATAAATATGTGCACATTGCAGGGAGT